TTTTTAATATTTATTTTTTACTTTTCGGCAGACACAACATCTTTGTTTGTATGTGGTGCTGAAGATCGAACCCGGGCCGCACACATGCCAGGCGAGCGCGCTACCACTTGAGCCACATTCCCAGCCCCTCATTCTACTCTTTCCTAATCCCATCTTATCTCCCCTCATTTCCCATTGTCTAATTCAATGTGAACTTCTCTTCTTCTCCCTTATTGTATGTTAGTATCCACATATCAGAGAACATTCGGCCTTTGGTTTTGGGGAATTGGCTTATTTCACTTAGCATGGTAGTCTTTAGATTTATCCATTTACCTGCAAATATCATAAAGTCGTTCTTTTCATGGCTGAGTAATATTCCATTGTGTACATATATCACATTTTCTTTATCTATTCATCTATTGAATCGGACCTAGGTCAGTTCCATAACTTAGCTATTGTGAATTGAGCTGCTATAAACATTGATGTGGATATGTCACTGTAGTATGCTGATTTTAAGTCCTTTATGTATATACTGAGGAGCAGGATGGGGTTAAATGGGTCAAATAGTGGTTCCATTCCAAGTTTTCTGAGGAATCTCCATACTACTTTCCAGAATGGTTGTACCAATTTGCAGGCCCACCAGCAACGTATGAGTGTATCTTTCCCCCTGCATCTCTACCAACATTTATTTTTACTTGTATTCTTGGATTTATTGTTACTCATATGCCATTCTGACTGGAATGAGATGGAATCTCAGAGAGTCTTACTTTGCATTTGTCTAATTGCTATAGATGTTGGACAGTTTTTCATTTACTTGTTGCATGGTAGCCTTATTTCTGAGATCCAAACACTAGGAATAACCCACGCAGCCATCTACAGGTGAATGAATAAACAAACTGTGGTGATAAAAGGAACAAACCATTGATAATACAATAACACGAATAAGCCTCCAAATAATTATGCTAATTAGAAAAGCTAGACAAAAATAGAGGAGAGTATGTAGTTTTTGTTATATAAAATTTTTGAAAATTTAGACTATGTTATAACAGAAAACAGATCATGGGCCTCTTTGTTTCAGTTTGTTGAACCACTAGGATTAGGAAGGGCCATGAGGTAAATTTGGGAGATGATGGTGACTGTTGTAAAGATTTCATGGGTGCATACATGTGTCAAAACTCCCCAAATTACATATAATAAAATAGACTTTAATTAATCTGTTTGTAAAACTTAGCCACTAGCCCTGTGAGGTTTGCAATTCTTCCATAGGGCTCTATATCAGCTCTATGTATGATTCAATTAGGTGTTCTCAATGGGAATATACAAATACATAAAGAGAACCCAGCAAAATGCCAGTAAACATCAATGTTCCCCATTTTAGCATACATTTTTCTCCTTATCCAACTCCTAGAGGAAGAAAATGAGGTATATATTAAATTACCTTTTCAGTTAATGTCTGAAAACAAAGAAAAAACAAATCAAACACCAGAATTAAATCCACCTGCTGTCATAAGGTTAAGAATTCAGCAAAATTGAAGTTCTTTCTGTTGATTTCATCCCCTCACAACCAGAAATGTTCTTAATGCCTAGGTAGCTTTCTTCATTATCTGCAGCCTAGGTGACTTCTTAAGAATAGATGTGACTCAATGAGCTCCTTAAAGTCTAAATCAACTCAACATTAAGTCTAGAGCGGGCATTAATTTTTAGAAGGCCCAAAGAGTAATAAAACGCTGAAGATAATCACACTAACCTCACACTTATCAAATTTAAAGGGCATTTACCCTGTACAAAATTATGCTCCCAGTCATTATTATTATCAAATATAATAATCTAATAAACTCTCTAATAGAAACTCGAAGACCTACAGGAAGGTAGCTGGTGGTGGCTTTAGTTCAATAGAATGCTATTCAAATCAACTGCACACTTAAATTGGAAGACATTTATCAGCAAGAAGTTAAATTTATCACCATGAACACAGCATGGCACATTGTCTTCTCTCAGACAACAGTGTTAGAGACACTGATACCATCTTGCCAAATATAGAATTTGTAGTGGTTCAGTAACCAATCATGAGACACCTTTGACTTGATTCTTTGCTTTCTAGAATGTGCAAAATCTTTAAAGTTGCAATTCAATGACTGGCATAATCAATCTGAACCTTGAGCTTCTCTAGAACTGCCCACAAGGCATCTCTTTTGAAGTTTAAAAGCAGCAAATACTGATAGTCATTATGTCTAGCTTTCCTAAGACATTCTATCATTAAATCCTTGCTGCAAGAGATGGCTTTCCAATCTTCCCAGTATCTAATAAGGCCCCTGCTGCTTGAACATGCAAATTTAATGTAGTTCAAGGTCAAATCATAACAGCCTGCTTCGGAGGATACCTTCTCTTGCCTGTGACTTTCTTGATGATGGCACAGCAAGGGTAGCTTGCTAAACCTCTTCTTGGCTGACATCTGCTGAGGCCATCCAGGAGGCCACCCTCTGGGTGAGCCTACTGATTTCCTATAGACAAAGCTACACTAATTTTCAGATCAAATTCTCACAAGTTTAAGAGCTTCAAGTCTTTTACCAAAATTACAGCAATTAAAAGTTCACTGTACATTTATAAAAATTCAAATCAATGGTCTACTAAAAGTGCCTACAAAATGTCAAAATAAAAACTGTGTATAAAGTCTAAAGCCTAAAACCACAGACTCTGGCTACCCCAAAGCCTCTCTGTTTGTTTTTATGCTGCTCCCTCAAGTTTTACTGGATCCATGCAGCTTTAATGATTAGATGTTACATTCTCCAAAACATAGACTTCCCCCTTGCTCTGCATCCATCCTCCTCTTACTCTTCATTGATAGAGCCAATTTTTGTTTATAAAATTTATAGTGGTATGAACATAGAGACCAAGTACTGCAGGAAGTGCCTGTAGTACCAGTTACTGGAAGGAATGCTGGAA